AGCATTTGGCCATTTGTTTGGCCAAAAAGATTATATGTTCAATATGTTCTCTGTAACATTTTAGAGTTCTAGTATTAAACAGGTGAAAGCCAACATCTTGCCATATCAGCACCGTACAGCATAAGAATAGCACAGAATGGAAACATTTGAGATGCTGTTCAAAAGCGCACACACAAAAAATCCCAGCAGCCATTGGGCAGAAGGCAGGAAACACCCTGGACAGGTCGCCAGTCTATTACAGTGCAAACACATACAATCACACACACACATATTCAAACCTTGGGGCAATTTAGCATCTCTAATTCAACTGACTGCATGTCTTTGGGAGAAAATCAGGGTACCCAGAGGAAACCCACACAGAAAGGGCCCTGGTCACTCGGACAGGGACTGAAACCCAGGACCTTCTTGCTGTAAAGCAACAGCACAACAGCGCCTTTTATTTATCCCTGCTGTAAAAGCCACTATCATCACTACACCATAAATGACACTATCCTGTCAGGCTTTATTCTGCACATAAAGGCCCAATCCCATTTCTTCTTTTTACCCCTACCCCTTGTTTTCGAGTGTCACCCTAACCCCTTGGAACTGAGTTACAAGGGGTAGTTGTTGAAATCTTGCCTTACGAAATGGGACAACCTTCAAATTAAAAAAAAAAACAAAAAACACTGCTTCATTAACAGCTACTAGCGCTGCTCTGTAGGCGACCCGGCCCGTCTTCAGTGATAGCAGAGAAGAGAAAAGTTCAGCTCCTCACTGCTGGGCTTTAGTTACATTTAGGGCATCATATGCTTTCAAAGAGGGGGAATAAGACAATTATTATTTATCACCCACCGCTAATTCTTTGGTGATATGAAGCTGAAGTCAGATATTCACCAGCTTCTTGTTCAAATTTTCCCGTTCCACCTTAAATGGTGCAGCAGTTACGTTCTGGTGCTTCAGGCGTCAGAACTGCTAGACTATTTAAGGTGGAATGGGAAAGTTAGCTAGCTAGCTACCAAGACATTAGCATGCTATTAGAGTTTTATTACAGTGCGATTTTTTACGCTCGTTATGAAGAAAACGACCATAATACACTGAAACAACATTAAACTAAGATAATACAATGATTATCGTAATTTTTTAACGAAAAAAATTCTTACATTTGTGGGTTTCTTTGGTCTTTCGCTCAGCCATCTTGCCAGTTTTTCTTTTTTTCTCATAACACTCTGTTTGGAGTGTCTCTGAAAAACCTCCGTTTGGAAGGCCATGTAGCCCAAACACTTCACCCTCCCCCTCTATCTCAGGGCTTTGCTGGATGATGGCACTTTGAATGCATAACTTCATGTAGCCCTCATAACAGTTTATAATTGGGGCAGTTGCTTGCCACATATGCACCTTCACAGTTTACAGTGTCTCACAATACACTGTATATATGTATATGCTGTATGTACAGTGTATACAAAGTCCAAGTAAACACCCCCCTCCAACATCGCATGCTCTCACCTGCACTTACTATGACACAGATGCACCCTTGAACTGAGAGGAATTAAAAGTTGGAACCGAGTTTGAAAAACAGAGATATGTGGCGAAAGCTGAAGCTTGTTTATGTTGTGCTCAGGGTCTGCGTTCTATTAGATTGTGTGAGCAAGACAGTTCTTGGGGATGCAGCACTGAAGCATTCCTGTTCCGACAGTGTTCGTGATAACGGGTGATTAACCAGCCTTGCAGGGATATTGTGATGGACCACAAGCTTTGGAATTTGGCTTTGATCCCTACCAATGAATTGCTTATTTCCCATCCAGTAGAAATAGCTGCATATAACCTCCAGCATTTTTGTCAAGAAGAAATTGTATATTGCACACAGCTATGTTGACTGTTTGAAACCTCACCCACACCAAGCTGAGTTCTTATCATGATGCTTTATCATATGATGCCTAGGGGTGATTATATTTCTCGTTATTGTGGTCCGTTACGCCACATTACGTCACAATATGCTTTTCTGAGTGTATTGTGAAAATCATCAGTGCTTAAAGAACACTGACCAACTGCATGTTTCATTACGAGAAGATAACTAGACTTGTTTAATTGGGTTTTGTCCAGTGTAATATGTGAAATGACAAAAAAAAAACATTTTTTTTGATAGTACTTTTAAATGCTGGTGTGTTTTGTCTGTTACAACTTATGAAACCCTGTGATGCAAACTGTGTATTGTGAAAATACCTTGAAGTAGACTGAAGTTATATTTTTGTTGTATCTCCCAACCTTAATAATGCCACATATGTTGAAAACAAAGTGGTTCGCTCTTAAAAATATGGTTCTTCAAGGGTTCTTCATAAAGACAATGGGCCTTATTCACCAATATCTTCTTAAGTTTTTTCTTAAATGTGTTCTTGAGAAAGGTCCAAAGAAAAAGTCTACGTCCGATTCATGACGTGTTCTTAATCCCCAGAATTGTTCACATCTTTGTGCTCTTGAGTGTGTGTCTTACCTAAGAACAAATCCAAATAAGAAAACACTGATGTCAGAATCTTATAAATAAATAAATAAAAACTGCATAACACTGTTGTCAGAAGAAAACCTTGTATCTCTATTTCTGTCACTTTTCAGTTTTTGACATAATTTGAAAATGTCTGTTACCCTTTAAATTGTGTGTAAATTTCATGATGAATGGACCAAAGGAAATGGCCAAAAATGACTTGGAAAAAAGTCTGGTTCCATTGACTTACATTAAAAGTAAAGTAGGTTTTTTCCTTCTCCTGTAAAGCTACCATTTTGGAGATACAAGGTTTTCTTCCGACAACAACGATAAGTTGCTTTTAAGAAGAAATTTCTGCTAGGAACGGGTGGTGAATGAGGCCCAATATTCCTATATAGAATTTTTGCATGCTTAAATGGTTCTTTGCATGGTGAAATAGTTCTTCAGTTTGATGGATAATGTGTTTTATGTGGATCAACATCAAATCAAAAAGGGTTCTTCTACTGTTAAAACCTTCACATCGCAACAATAGCAGAACTATGGCACTATTTTAGAACCCACTATTTTATTTTAAAAAGGTTCTATGTAGAACCATAAGCAACACATTCTCCATCAACCTAAGGAACCATTTCAACTTACAAAGTACCATTTAAACATATGAATGGTTCTTTGAGTGTTCATGGTTGTATCTAATTCTATACATGTTGGCTTTACTAAAGAACCCTTGAAGAACCATCTTTTTTTAAGAGTGTAGAATGAAATAGTTTGAATGAAATCCCCTCATTCATCATTGGATGCTTGATCACTGGATGTTTGATCATTCATCCTTCACAGTGTTTGATGTAGGATAAGCTGTGGTTTAAAAAAATAGCAGACAGTCTGAGCGGAGTGCTCACAGCAGGATGGGGATATCCCTGGAACAGGATGGGTGGATATCTGTGATCGTAAACAGTTTGAGATAACTGCGAAAAAAGTGTCAGGAAAGCACAAGTTAAGGGAGCCTGGCCTTGACGCCTTGGCCAGGCTCTGCGTTGTCACCAGAGACTTCACTGTTAGACAGGATGAAAATAATTTAGCCGTAGTTATGGGAGTTCAGGAAGAGGTGGTTTGTGATGTAAAAGATGCTGACGGATCCTGTGTGTCTCCACCGGGATTACACAAAAGGATGTAAAGGTCATAGTCTAACCACAGTTTAGGAGGTGGATGATGAATACCTAGGGCTGGGCAATGTAACCATAATTATCATTGTTGTAATGACTTATGTCACAATATCCTTCTCTGAGTATATTGTGGATATCGTCTCTCTTTAAACAACACTTTCCACTGCATGATTAGTCCTGTTTCATGGAATTTAGTGCAGAATAGTGTGTAAAATGTGCGTTAAAAACAATTTAAAAATGCTGTCCCATGTTTTCATGTCACTCCCGAAACACAGAGCCTTAGTTTAGCCACACCCTGCATTTTAGAGCAGGAAGTGAGACTGCATCCCTATCCCTCAGGGCCACATCGTGAGCAGTTAGATCTCACTGTTCTGAAATAAATGTGTTCCAAAGTCTGAAAATCAGTGTGTAACATTAAGAATTGTCATCAAAACACGTATTTTCTTTTTTTGCGTTTTAATGAAAAATATTATGATTTTATGTGTGTAAAACTGTTCAAAGCTGTGTTTGCTAGTCATGTACTGTCTAGTAAATTGTGACTACCAAAACATCTGGTAACAATTCTTCAGGGTTATGTTTGTTTAGGTAGTGACAAAACTCCAAGTCAGTTAATCAGGCATAACATTATGACCACCTCTTTGTTTCTACACTCATTGTCCATTTTATCAGCTCCACTTACTATATAGGTGCACTTTGTAGTTCTACAGTTACAGACTGTAGTCCATCTGTTTCTCTGCATACTTTGTTAGCCCCCTTTTACCCTGTTCTTCAGTGGTCAGGACCCCCATGGACCCTCACAGAGGAGGTATTATTTGGGTGGTGGATCATTCTCAGCACTGCAGTAACACTGATGTGGTGGTGGTGGTGTGTTAGTGTGTGTTGCGCTGGTGTGAGTGGATCAGACACAGCAGTGCTGCTGGAGTTTTTAAACACCTCAGCGTGACTGCTGGACTGAGAATAGTCCACCAACCAAAAATATCCAGCCAACAGCGTCCTGTGGGCAGCGTCCTGTGACCACTTATGAAGGACTAGAGGATGACCAACACAAACTGTGCACAGCAGATGAGCTATCGTCTCTGACTTTACATCTACAAGGTGGACGGACAAGGTAGGAGTGTCTAATAGAGGGGAAAGTGAGTGGACACAGTGTTTAAAAACTCCAGCAGCACTGCTGTGTCTAATCTACTCGTACCAGCACAACACACACTAACACACCACCATCACATCAGTGTTACTGCAGTGCTGAGAATGATCCACCACAATGAAACAAGGATAATGTTATGCCTGATCGGTGTCTATGATTGCATACATTTCTGTGCAAATGCTAATTACCCATGTTTTTCTCCATACATTTACACTGTATGTATGTGTATGTGTTTCTACAGGAATTGGTGTGCCTATGTAGTGACAAAAACTGTTAGCTGTGTTATGGAGGATGGAGTGGAGACATACGTGAAACCAGAGTACCAGCACTGTGCTTGGGGCCAGTGTTCCCGGGTGGTTGTGTGAGTGTTCCTTTTTTTGGTGGAACAGGAAATAGTATGTGGCTTGTCTTTTATCCCCAGTGACTGTCATGACTCTGTCTAGCTGGGAAGGCCTGGTCAACATCCTTCTGTTGTCATGACAAGGAATGAGTGCAGACACCACTAATAGACTCCTGATAAAACTACCCTGTGACTACCAAGAAACCCTGCTTTCTGTTTTTACCGAGAAAAATAATACATTGACCTAAAATGGCCATAATGATTTGACCACAATGATCCAAAATTTGGTAATGACTTGGGTACAATTTTGTTCCTAGATCAACAAGCACAGATAGGATGTCCTTTTTTAAAATGGCCATATATAGAATGACTTATTGTACTTGGAATTCAAAGGAGATACATTTCATAACAATGCCTTTGTTTCACGATTATTCACCAAGTAATGGTTCCAAAGAAAGCCATAATGTTGGTTCAGAAACCACATCACGAACTGTAAAGATGTAGAAAAATATTCTAATAATAATAGAAACTAAACTTCAGCTTGGTGCATTTATATGTAAAAGAACCTTTTGGATTACAGTCTCAGGTGTTTCAGTAAGAGTAAAATGAGGACTCTGTAAAAGCAAATAAATTTTATTTTACTCATCATTTTTTTTTATTATTTAATGCTATTTTTTGTTATCCAGTTCTGTCCTTTTGAGTCATGTGTGAACAGGAATACGTTAACAGAACAGGACAAATATTTTTCTGTCTGCTAAGCTGGGCTTTCTTAATAAATCACTTGGGCCTATTTTGAGCATATTCGTTCTGATACCTTGCTTACACAACATATACAGCATTTCCTAGAATTAACAAAGTTAACATGCATTGAAAACCTAATACTACACAGCAGGGGGGGTAACGATACACAAAATTCAAAATTCTGTTCAATACAATATGGTGGTCTCAAGGCAATGCATTTCTCAATACAAACAGGATTTTTGTAGGGGTGCAAAATAGGCCTTATGTTCATACATTAATGTTAATATTTTAAGTTTGCATGAACAGAGCACACATGCACACAAGGGGTCATGATTCAACAGAGCTCTGATTATATAGACTGGTTTGGCACAGATAAATAAAAGTTCTCCATTAGAACTCAGGGTGTTATGGAGCCCCTAAGGGGCTGTGGTTAAAAAAAAATAATAATGACATTGCGTTCCCTCGCAAATGTTTTGCATTCCCTCGCAAATGTTTTGCATTACGTCGCAAATGGTTTGCAATCGCTTGCAAAAGCTGTGCTTTGCTTAAGCTCAGAGATGAAGCAGCTCATTGAATTTACGTTGATCTTGGGTTGAAATATAAAGACGTGTAAAATGTTTCTCAAAATCAAACATGATTATTAGGCAATGTCATTGGGCACCTCTGGTCCTACGTTTGCTTGCTGTCAGACAAGCATATATTTTGCGAGGGAATGCAATTTTTTTGCGAGGGAATGCAAAACATTTGCGAGGGAATGCAATGTCATTAACTTTTTTATTTTTTAACCACAGCCTCTTAGGGGCTCCGTAGGGTGTGAAATGTTGAATGCAAGTGATTGTATTCATAGTATCTGATAGTAATTTTTAAAACGTTGCACCACTTTGTTCTGGCTTATCTGTTTTATTGTGATATTACACTTTAACCAAATCGCCCAGATCTAAACGGATAACATTATTTCAGCACATTTCAGTAGATATTTTGTGCCCACTGAAAAATATATCTTGCCTTACCTGACAGGTATCGGACATACAGAAGACCCAGGTACAAGGTTGCCTACAAAATGGTGACACAGATGGAGTGGAAGTGTTGTCATGGCTACTCAGGTGAAGACTGCAGTGTTGGCCCCAGTGGCGGCTCAGATTCCCATGTCATCACTTCCAGACCTTCGACATCACAGACTGGATCCAGTACCAGGAATGAAGAGAGGGGTGGAGAAGGTATAGGACTTACTATGGAAAGTGTCATTTTACTTCACATTAATAAAGCTACTAGCAACTAGTAGTATTTATGAGTATTTCTTTCCTCTTCAGGAAGAGGGGACAGTGATAAGATCAGACAACTTGAGGAGAAGATCCACAGCCTGACCAAGGAACTCCATGACATGCAGTCCACAATGCAAGGAATGAATCAGAAAATACACGAGGAGTCTCATCATGGGGGCAGTAGTGGTGGTCACAGTCCTGCTGACGCAGCCCAGCCAGAGATGCGGGAAACCATCAACAGCATCCAGAGCAAGTTGGATCTCCTGGACAACATGACTCAAGTACATGACAGGACCCTCATCAGCATCAACAACCATCTAGTTAGTGGCAGCGGTGCAGGCAACGAGCTAGACAGGGGAGATCGCTACAACACACTGAAGGAAGAGATTCTACGGGAGCTAGAATATCGTGTCACACTGTCCTGCTCCTCCTGCCAGACTGGAGTGGAGGACATTCGGCGGCTGCAGCAGGAGAACGAGGACCAGATCAAGGCAATGGAGAAGCACATAGAGCAGCAGCACAAGCACACAGTTGAGTTCCTGCAAAGGGAGCTGTCCCACTTACAGGGCTGTTGTAGCTCCATAGCGGACCTTGAGAGGAGAGTCAGTGCCGTAGAAAGAAAGGTCAGTTCTACTGCAGAATCATATGACGTCTTACAAAGCTGGCTTGAAAAGGAGTTGAAAGGGTCTGGTGGAAATGGAGGCCGAGGAAAGATATCGGAGGAGAGACTGAACACCCGCCTCAAAGAACTAGAGCGACGGCTGAATGGAACAGTGAGGAAAGCTGAGCAGAAATGCTCATACACTGAGAGCAGCATGAAGGAACTATTGCAAAGAGAGATCAACCAGATACGCAACTCTGTCCAGGGCAAAAACGTTGAGCATAGTTACAGAATTTCTAACATTGAGCTGGACGTCAGGGATCTGAGGGATTCTGTTGATGACCACAAGGGTCGTATAACTGAACTGGAGAACAAGACGTCTGTCTTTAACAGCAAGCTCAAATCTGCAGTTGCTTTGTGTGCAGAGACATGCGCTGCACAAGAAAAAGCAAGCAAAACTGAGGACACTGTGAAAACTCTGGAGTGGCAAGTAATTGCCAATCAGGAAAACATCCAGAAGTTTGACACCAAGCTAAAGGATCTCTCAGTGTCTGGCGACTCCCTGATGGACCGCATTTTAGACCTCAGTCAGGATGTTCAGAAAGTAAAGGATTTGATGGGCGAGAATGGTGAGAATTTCGAAAAGATTATCACTGAGGTAGAAACGCTAGGGAGTAATTGTGATGTCTGCAGTTCTGTTTTCAGTTCCCTAGAGAATGACCTCCAAAAGTTTAGTAACTCAACAAGAGATGCCCTGGAGAAATGGCAAGGTGAAATCACCAACTTGAGGAAGAGAGTCGATTCTGATGAGAGCACATGCTCACAGGTTTGCTCAAATCTACAGGAGGAAGTGGGCAAACTCAAGGAGGACGTGGAGAAATGCCAGGGGCAGTGCAAGATCAGCATGGAGGAGCACAAGAAACACACAAATGGACAGCATGTCATAACTAGCACACTGGGCAAAGAACTTAAGTCCATTCAAGGTGAGCTCTCAGGAGTCAAACTGACCTTCAACTCCATCAATGATACCCTGAAGGGGCTAGGTCGTACTGTTCAGAGACATGGCAGTACCATAACTGACCTGGGCACTTCTAAGGACAGGATCTTCTCTGAGATTGACAAGATCCAGCGGGATCTGAATGAGCACGTAGAGGACAGTCTAGGACGCTTCAGCAATGTTAGGCATGAGATCCACAACTTCAACAGCAAAATATTGGTTGAGATGGGTGAGTGCAAACGTGCTGGCGAGGGGCTCGAAAAGAGGCTTTTGAAAATGGAGGACGTCTGTGGCAGGCTGGACTCGCTTTCAGAGAGCCTGCAGCACATCAAGGACGGACTGAGTAGACATGTGTCAGGACTCTGGACCTGTGTCAATGGGCTCAATGCTACCATCATTACTCAGGGAGAGGCCATAGACAACATTCAGGACATTCATTTGGAGAACATCCATGAGATGATGGATAACCTTAACTCCTCACTACTGCACTTCCAAAAAGAGTTCCAGACCTTCACTGAGCAAGACTTTACTGGTGAGTGTCCAAGAATACAGAAAGTAGAATAGTAGCTTGGTCATTAGACAAATAAATGATAACACATAAGTGATGATAACTTACATTGGATTTGTTTATGTCCATGATCCAACATCCAAGTTCTAGAACTGAGTTCTAAAACCCAAAGTTTACATTATGTTCATTGCAGTGAATTACTTTGGCAGTGTGTATATATACATAAATTGGAGAAGGATAAAATAGTACCACACAATGTTTTCCAAATTTGCAGTTGTATAATTCCAACCATACAACATTTTTGCAAGGTCTACAGAGAATCTGACTTACTTGTCTCTCCATCCTAAAAGTGTGCATGCTAGACAATTTGATATGAATCAAGAATTAGACATCACACTCAAACATTCAAATATGATTCTTCCAAAGACTGTCAGTAATAATTATCATCACATTTTACACAATTTGAATGGACAGAATATTACTCATTATACAACAGTTCCGGCCACGCAAGCTGATTGGTTGAGAAGTGTTCTAACTGTGCTGTTATTTCACCATAACAGCACGTTTTTTTCACAAACACTCCGCTGTATCACTCCGCTGAGACACCGTTGCTAAGCAATGACTTTGACAGCTGTAGGAGACGCTTAAGCCATTTGAATGTTTTTACTTCTTAAGTTGCACACAAACAGAAAATTGACACTTTTAAGATCACATTTGACCGACAGCTGATTTGGTCAGACTCTGAAGATGAGACAACACTAAATTCCGAAATTGTCATTACCACTGAGCAGCTTTTCAATCGGCAGCTGTGACAGAAGAACAGCTAAACAACCTGGAATCAGCCAGAAATGAACCCAATACCATTCGCCAAACTAAATGGGCTGTAAGATGCTTTACAGACTGGCTGGATCAAAACAACTTTAATATTGATCTGGCAAAAATTGACAAAACTGAGCTAAACTTGATATTGTGGCAGTTTTATGGCTCAGTCCGACTCTGAAGACGAGACTACATGTTTGGCGAATGGTATTGGGTTAATTTCTGGCTAATTCCAGGTTGTTTAAATGTTCTTCTGTCACAGCTGCTGACTGAAAAGCTGCTCAGTGTTAATGATAGTTTTGGAATTTAGTTTAAGGAGCTGGAGAACGAACTGCTGGCTTTGCAGTGAGCAGAGTTCGTTACTCTGACGTAGCAACAAGCTGCTCCGTGATGTTATTTCGCAATAACACACTCCCTCTCGTGTTCTATTGCTTAATAATTAAATAAACAAATATGTTGTAGCGCAGTGGGTAATACTGCTGCCCTGTACATAGCAAACTGGGTTCAGTTCCCCACCCTGCCAATGGCTATACCATTATTCAATCACGTTTTACTGTAGTTAAACTGCAGTCACTCTGTGTAAGAGCAACATGCACAAGGATGCAGGTAGGAAACAAATAGGGACTAGACACAAGCACACTGTTCGCAAAATAAGGATAACATGGTCCTGTAAATGGTTGTTTTGTAAAAATGAATGGCAAATAATTTAGCCTAGCCTACTGCCTGTTCAAAACAAGTTTTACATTCTACATTTATCCCACTTATTATCTAAAATCCGCTGACCATCTTTCACCCTGTGGACAATTCTGGAGTATAACACACATTGTTATACATCAGGGGTGTCCAATCTTATCCACAAAGGGCCGGTGTGGCTACAGGTTTTCCCTCAAAACAAGCTGAAGCACACCTGATTCCCCTGTTTAATCAGCTGGTTTCAGTCTTCAAACTGTTGATCAGGTGATCTCCAGCTTTGCTGGAATGAAAACCTGCAGCCACACTGGTGCTTTGTGGATAAGATTGGACACCCCTGCTTTACATCATGCACTAAGCTACTCCGACTTTGTTACTATTTTTAATTAACTTTTTTTTACCTTCTTTTAATTTTTTTTTAATTCCAGGGCCACAAGGACCACAAGGAGAGCGGGGCTTACCAGGCATAGCAGGGCCAAGGGGCCCCCCTGGCGAAGAAGGTCCACCAGGAAAACCAGGAATTCAGGGTCCAGTGGGACCACCAGGTACAGAAATTTTCTACTGAAGAAAGTAAATACTTTTTTTATTATTAAATACAATGATGTATTGTATGCTGAGCAGTGATGACATTACTTATGTCCCCCTTTTGCTCTGCAGGCCTCAGAGGTGAGGAGGGTAAGTATTTTTTCCTCATTTACTTCAAGAGCAAACATTTCATTTCTTTGCCATAGCCATCTTTACAATGAGCTTGTCTTGTCATGTAACAGGACCTCCAGGAGATGATGCAAAAGTACCGAGGCTGTCGTTTTCCGCAGCCCTAACACGACCACAGAACGATCCAGGCACCATTATCTTTAACAAGGTTTTTGTTAATGAAGGACATTCGTACAATCCATATACAGGTATCTTAACATCTGTTATTGACTTTAGTCATAATAATAGTCTAAACAGTCAGAATTATTGTTTATACAGAATTTCCTCAGTAATTTATAGTTTGTTTCCAAGAAAGTTGGGATGCTGTGTAGAATGTAAATAAAAATGCAGGATGCATTGATGTGCAAATCATGTAAACTATATTTTTAAAGGAAAATACTACAAAGACAACAAATCAAATGTTGAAACTGAAAAATTGTATTGTTTTTTTGAAAAATATGGGCCTGTTTACCACTGTGTTTCATCACCTCTTCTTTTAACAACACTCTGTAAGCATTTGGGAACTAAGGAGACACTGCTGTAGTTTTGAAAGTGAAATGCTTTCTCGTTCTTGTTTGATATAGGATTTCAGCTGCTCCACCGGTTGGGGGGTCTCATTTGTCGTATTTTTCATTTCATAATGCGGCAAATGTTTTCAGTCGGTGACAGATCTGGACTGCAGGCAGGCCAGTTTAGCACCTGGACTCTTTTAATATGTATGGAGCAATGCTGTTGTAATACGTGCAGAATGTGGTTTGACACTGTCTTGCTGAAATAATCAAGGCCTTTCCTGAAAAAGATGCCGTCTGCATGGCAGCATATGTTGCCAAAACATGTATCTAATGGTGCACTCACAGATATGATGTCACCCATACCATGTGCACTAATGCACCCCTATACCATCATGAATACTGGCTTTACTGTACGCTGATAACAAGCTGAGTGGTCTTTAGCCCGGAGGACACAGCGTCCATGATTTGCAAAAAGACTTTCAAATGTTGATCCGTCAGACCACAGGACACTTTTCCATTTTCCCTCAGTCCATTTTAAATGTGCTCAGGCCCAGAGAAAGTGGCAGCCTTTCTGGATCCTGTTTATATATGGTTTCTTCTTTGCGTTTTAGAGTTTTAACTTGCATTTGTGGATGCAGCAACGAACTCTTTCACAGACAGCGGTTTTCAGAAGTGTTTCTAAGCTCATGCAGTGATTTCCACTACAGAATCATGTCTGTTTTTAATGCAGTGCTGCCTGAGGGCCCAAAGATCACAGTCAGCATATACTGTTTTTTGGCCTTGTCCCTTGCATTTAGAGATTTCTCCAGATTCTCTGAATCTTTTAATTTTATTATATACTGTAGATGATGAAAAGCAAAAGTTCTTTGCTATTTTACGTTGAGAAACGTTATTCTTGAATTGTTGCAGTATTTGCCCTCTCAGTCTTTCACAAAATTGGCGAACTCCTCCACATCTTTACTTCTGAAAGACTCCACCTCTCTGAGATGCTTTTTTATACCCAATCATGTTACTGACCTGTTGCCAATTAACCACCAGGTGTTTTTATTAGCATTATACAACTTTATCAGCCTTTTGTTGCCCCCGTCCCAACTTTTTAGGAACGCGTTGTTGGCATCAAATTCAAAATGGGCAAATATTTTTCAAAAAAACAATAACAGTTCTCAGTTTCAACATTTGATTTGTTGTCTTTGTACTATTGTCCGTGAAATTTAGGTTTTAAATTATTTGCACATCATTGCAGTTTGTTTTTATTTACATTTAGCACAGCGTCCCAACTTTTTGGGAAATGGGTTGTAGATTGATTGATTTTTGGATAACACTTTACTGAAGGCCAGCATACGTACAGCTACATGACACTTACATTAGCCTTAATATAGGCTTATTCCAACATCCGTCAGTTACCATAAAGGCTGCTTTTGTCAGTTTTTATGTCATTTCACCTTAGCTACTATTATAACAGTGTGCTTGTGTTTTCTGACTTATTAGTCCTCTGCTGGTATGGTAGGTTCTGAGTCTTAATTTACTTTGGCTCAGGCTGTGCTAGTCTTATTGAAATTGATTTTTTAGTTATTTAGTTTATTAAGTTATCTTTAGTTCTAGGTTTCAGCATTGACACTGGCTTTTTTCTGGCAGTGTCTTAGCCTAAGGGTACTTTGGACCTTTTTGTACTACCTAGGATATATTCTCTAAGTGGTCAACAAAACACTTTTGTAAGTCGCTCTGGATAAGAGCATCTGCTAAAAGCCGTAAATGTAAATGTAAAGAGCAACTGTAGCTTTATGCAATTAGCATTTATAAATGTTCGTATAGGTTTAAGTTAGTGGTCATGAAAGGCATATGTAGGTGTTGTATAGCCTTGTAAATACTGCACTTCAGTAAAGTGTTGCCATTTTCATGATATGCTAATTAACTGATGTCAATGACTTACATATATGGAGTCTAAAACAAGTGTTTTGCTGTGATGTTTCAAAAGGCACATTCACGGCACCAGTGAGCGGTCGTTACTTCTTCAGCGCAGTTCTGACTGGTCATAAGAACGTGAAGATTGAGGCAGTCCTGTCTAAGTCTAACTACGGTATTGCCCGTGGAGACTCTGCTGGTTACCAGCCGGAGGGCCTGGAGAAGCCCATAGCTGAGGCCAGGCAAACCCCAGGCTCCCTGGTCATCTTCAACATCATACTCCCACTACAAGAGGGAGACACTGTCTGCATTGACCTGGTCACGGGTAAACTGGCCAACTCTGTTGAACCTCTTACTATCTTCAGTGGAATGCTACTGTATGAGGAAGTGGATGCCATTGCTACTCCATGATCAAGAGAAGAACTGTGGTTGTAGATTTGTGGAGTTAAAATTGAAGAACTTGAGAAATAATCTGCTTTTTACAGTGTTCAGTGACAGCTATGAAACGGTATGTATTATACGCTGCCAGTCAAATGTTTAGATACATCTACTCTAAGAAGGATTGTCCTTGTTTTTAGCCTACTATTTTACTCATTTTAGAATAAACGAAACCAAAGTATAGGAAGACATGGAATTATGCAATAGGCATAAGAAAAAACTTTTTTTCAAGTCCCGATGTCAACTTTATGCACGCTTAGCATTACGATCTGCGCTATTTGTTTTGGTAAGAACTTTTAAAAAAGTATGCAAGCATAAGCCTGTACTTCAAAATGTCTTTAATATTATGAAATTGTACAATCAGTTGTGTCTAAACTTTTGACTGGTAGTGTACATTCAGGTTTATTAACTATTTGAATACCACCTGTGACGTTTTTGGGCACAGGAAGTCTGTTTGTGTCAGAACAGTGAAAGATTTAAATGTTTTGACTCTAAAGCTGTTGTTTATAGTCATTTATAGTAACATGTATCACTGCTTTGGGAAATAGTATTAATGTGTTTTACACAAAGCAAGACTGTATTCTTTCAATGGCTTTGAGTTAATGCTGTTACGTGCACCACTGTAAGTGCTTTTCCATTTGCTCTGACATTTATCTAGCGAGCTCTCCTAGATGGGAGAGTTAACTCTCAGAATGTAAATTGAAGTGTTGCCAAACTCCTCCTCCAACCACTGCCTTAAAGCCAGTTCCTTTTGAAGTGCAAGGCTGAATTCAGAATGATCAGGGATAGAGAGAGAGAGAGATGTCCTGAAAATATGTATTTCTGGACTTTCAGGCAGAAGTTTTTCCTCAAAGACCCCACTGACAGCTTTCTCTTAAATTGCCAATACATATGTCTTTATTATTTTAATCCATTTGCTGTTTTATTCATTCATGTTTCTGTTTTTTTTTACTTTAAAATCACCTTATTTGGGAATACAGGCCTCACTCCTGTGCGAATACAATTCAGTGAGCGCAAACAAATCTTGGCGTGCTCAGAAGAGAACAATTTAAGACCAGAGGCTATGAGAAAGGATGGCTTTTCAAACCCAGTCCTCCAACCACAGAACTCTAAGAGTGTTGTAAATGGTTGCATAACTGTTTTTTTACTGTTCCCTTGACAATTGAACTTTTACACTTCAAATAGCTCTTCAATCAAGTTAAATATAACACTTTGCAGCTCATGTTTCTGCCAGGAATTCCAGTGTGTGACATGAAGACTCTTGGTGGTCTGAGGCAAATGGAAAACTTGAATGTGTTTTCACCAAGGATGTTGTGAGAACAAACACTGACCTCTCAAGCTCCATTAACCTAAATGAAAGAAGAACAAAGGAATGGGCCTGCACAAAGCCCACGGACTTATGTTTCATTAAGTGTTAATTTTGCTGAGATTTCAGTGGCTTTTTTTTATTTGAGCTGAAGCAGATACAGAGTGGATCATCAGTTTGAGTAACTATGTATATGAAACATTGCCTATATTTGGTTTTGTACCCCAAATTCCCATGGTTCCTGTACAATAATAAACTACACCAAATACAGACCATGTAATGATTCGCCACTCAACCTTGCTGTGGGAACTTTTTTTTACTCTTTTCTGGGGCTGGTTAACATGATGACAACTCCATATGCAATGTTTTGAGGGATATACACAGATCAGGCATAACATTATGACCACCTCCTTGTTTCTACGCTCATTGTCCATTTTATCAGCTCCACTTACTATATAGGTGCACTTTGTAGTTCTACAATTACAGACTGTAGTCCATCTGTTTCTCTGCATACTTTGTTAGCCCCCTTTTACCCTGTTCTTCAGTGGTCAGGACCCCCATGGACCCTCACAGAGCAGGTACTATTTGGGTGGTGGATCATTCTCAGTACTGCAGTAACACTGATGTGGTGGTGGTGTGTTAGTGTGTGTTGCGCTGGTCTGAGTGGATCAGACACAGCAGTGCTGCTGGAGTTTTTAAACACCTCAGTGTCACTGCTGGACTGAGAATAGTCCATTAACCAAAAATATCCAGTCAACAGCGTCCTGTGGGCAGCATACTGTGGGCAGTGTCCTGTGACCACTGATGAAGGACTAGAGGATGATTAGCTCATACTGTACATCAAGAGATGAGCTATCGTCTCTGGCTTTACATCTACAGGGTGGACCAACAACACAGGTGCGTCTAATAGAGTGGACAGGGAGTGGACACAGTGTTTAAGAACTCCAGCAGCACTGCTGTGTCTGATCCACTCAGACCAGCACAACACACACGAACACACCACCACCACATCAGTGTTACTGCAGTGCTGAGAATGATCCACCACCCAAATAGTACCTGCTCTGTGAGGGTCCATGGGGTCCTGACCACTGAAGAACAGGGTAAAAGGGGGCTAACAAAGTATGCAGAGAAACAGATGGACTACAGTCTGTAACTGTAGAACTACAAAGTGCACCTATATAGTAAGTGGAGCTGATAAAATGGACAATGAGTGTAGAAACAAGGAGGTCATAATGTTATGCCTGATCGGTGTACACCATAGCATATTTGCAGGGTTGAAAAAAATACTTAGAAAAAGTAGTGATGGCTGAAATACTGAATACACAGTCATAAATGTGTTCAGTAATGTATTCCATTACAATAAAAAAGTAATGTAGTCAGAATACATTTACAATATGTTTACAATACATCTTGGCACAAGGGAAAACTATTTTTTGTTTACTTAACCCTCTATTGCACTACGTTGCCTCTGGGCAACAAACCCATTTTCCTCACTTTATACTAACATCTTATATATTTAATGATGATGACAGGGGTAATAATAAAGGGAAGAGTTCAAGTAAGTCAATAAAATGATGTATTTGGTCATACGATCTCTTAATTGAGACTTTTACACCTCTTTTTTAACATTCAGTATGATTTGTTTTTGTTATGAAAAATTGCTGAAGTATGTTTGTTGCCTAGAAGCAACATTGTAGAGCAGTGGAATGGACTAAGCCAGTCACAAAGCCAGATCTAACCATGGCTTTCTATAATTTCTTCCCATTGTAGCACAATGTTGCCTCAGGGCAACATACCCCAAAAGGACCCCTGCACACATTATTATTTTGTTATTTTGTTATTATTTGAATTTCATGCAAGAAATGTTAATCGAGTATTGTTTTTTTTTTATTGCTCTCATAATGTGTGCAGTCACTGTTACTTGTTGGCATTTTTTTATGTAGATAATAACTGTATAACTAATAAATAACTAATGCAACACTCACAAACATGTCCACTACTGCAGAGATTATTAGCTTGCTACCACACCTCAGTAAAACGGAGATTAATAACTGGCTCATCAGCTTGATTTATCAGTCTACTCAGGCTTTAGTATGAGCTTCAGTGTTTGTAAAAAAGCTGTTAATTGAGATCCTCTTTAGACTTCATCTAACAAGCACATTTGCTATATGCCATAGTTAACAAATAAGCATTGATGGTGTTTCTTTGAAGATTGTATGTTTTTTGTTATTATTCAGTGGCTACATATTCTAAAAGTATTCCTCTAGAAGTGTAAAAGGTAACTGTACACTGAATACCGCTTTTTAAAAAATGTTACTTGGACTGAACACAGGTACTTAATTTGCAGTGGTGGGCAGTAACGAAGTAAATGTAATTCGTTACTGTACTTAAATAGTTTTTTCGTGTATCTGTACTTTACTGAAGTATTTCCATTTTGGGTGACTTTTTACTTTCACTCCACTATATTTCAAAGTCGAACATCTTGCCTTTACTCCACTACATTATGCAAAATCTGTCGTTTCTTTTGATTTATGTGTGCATTAAAACGTAACGTCAAAACAAAAGAAGCATGAAGCAAGAACACCATCGACCCAGTGCAGCACACGGTTCAACGACAGTGTAACAGTGTAAAATTTTAGGAGTGTCTATTCGAACATAAATAATGGAACTAACCTAACATTGTGTAAATAGACCACAATATAGAAATATGTGCACATATGCAGTTGTGACTGTCGTGTCTTTTTTCTGAATTTATATAAACACTATTTCATTTTATAGTAAATTTGTTTTTGCTAGTTTATGTTTATGAACAGAGACCTACAAATTGAATATAGTAAAGGAAAACTCATTTGTGAACCTCTGTTTAAGGTTTTTTATTAAACTTAAACTTGTAACTAAGTTTATTAAACTGAAACTTTGCTTGTTTGCAGAAAGTTATTTCATAGCCACTCGGTTCCACCTAATGGAAATTGTTTGCCTTCAGTGTTTTATGTTTATGATAATTTTAATAGATATCAGTGACTAATTAATGACATTCTATTAAAAGACTGGTTTACCAAAAGTGACACTGGAGTATTTTCACCTAAAATGAGTTAATGAAGCAAGAGTGTTACAAAAATGATAATAGGACATGGTACATGGTTTGTGTACTTCGTCCACCACTGTTAATTTGTGTATTCTGACGCATGTTACATCACAACCCTGCCTATTTGTTATGTGTGTTTAAAATAAAGATATTTAATTTCTACATGGAAAGCCTGTGATTATGAAGCCATTATGACTAAGGCCCAATCCCATTTCACCCCTTGCCCCTACCACTTAGCCCTTAGCCCTCTGTTTTGCGTGTTCAAGTCTAGGGTTAGGGTGTCCCAATTTTAGTTGAGATAGAGGGTGTTAGGGCTACATGGCCCTCCAAACGGAGGTTTTTCAGAGTCACACTCCAAACTGAGTGTTATGAGAAAAAAAACAGCCAAGATGGCGGCGTGAGCGACCAAAGAAACCCACAAATGTGAGAATTTTCTCCCTTAAAAAATGACAATAACCACTGTATTATCTTAGTTCAATGGCGTTTTAGTGTATTGCTCCAACGTTTTCTTCGTAACAAGCATTAAAACTCACTAATAGCATGCTAATGTCTCGGTAGCTGGCTAGCTAACTTTCCCGTTCCACCTTAAATAGTCCAGCAGTATTGACGCCAGGAGCGCCAGAATGTAACTGCTGCATCATTTAAGGTGGAACGGGAAAATTCGAACAAGAAGCTGGTGAACATTGAATTCAGCTTCGTATCTTTACCCTCCTCTGCTATCACTGAAGACGGGCCGGGTCGCCTACAGAGCAGCACTAGTAGCTGTTAATGAAGTAATGTTTGTTTTGTTTTTATAATTTGAGGGTCCCATTTCGTAGGGCAAGATTTCAACCAGTTAGGGTGACACTCGAAAACAAGAGGTAGGGGTAAAAAGAAGAAATGGGATTGGGCCTATGAGGGGCATACAGTAGTCTAGTCTGCCACAGTCTGTGTGGTGTTAGTGACCTCTTGTGTCAAGAGCTGAAGTCTGCAGTGTAAAGATTTAGCCTACTGTACAGAGCCCAAGGGACGCCACAGAGGTTTGAGCACTGGTTGTCCTCTAAATTATGCAGCTCATGAATTCCACTGTGAGTTCCTTTGTGAGGCGACACGCTATAGCCCGCCTCTTTGTTAGAGATGTCATTTCCTGTCACTCACCCGCACTAAAGTTACTCACCGGCTTGAGGACTTTGCCGTGTAAACTGATATTACTTTTTCCCATGAAACACGACCGGTCGAGTGATCTCGCAAACGCGGTGTAACTCTACCCGACAGCGGCGATTAAATAAGAAAGAAGCCGACTAACACTGAGGCCTGCATTTCTTGGCGCGCTTTCTGAGGGCGCGCGCGTGGCTCTCTGTTGCCATGGAGACGAGCTCGCGCAAGAAAAAGAGACGCCGAGCTTGGAAGTTTACTCAGCTGACAAGAGCTGCCGTTGAGAAAGTGTCCCTGATCGACTGGATTATCGACAGAAACCGGGTAAATCTTCTTCTTTTCACTATAAACAGAACATCTAACCGGTTAGTCTTTTAACTGTGCTTTAAAAGTGTCATTCGAGTCTGGAGGTTCAACTCATACTTGTCAGCCTTTTCTATCAAAGTTTAGCTATAACGTTACAGTAGCCTCCCTGGTATTAGCTGTTAAGAGGCCTGCTTGACTTATTTAAGCTTTTAAATAGGTCATTTAAGCCGTATAATCACTTTTTCAGCAGCTTCATTCTCCCATAGCCTTATTTTAAGAATTCCAAGTCTTGCTCATTTTGTATGTAACAGTTAAACGAGAAGAGCTGAGTGAGTTCTTACAGTATTTATCTGTGTTCAGCTGGACTCCAAGGGAAATTCCACTGATTTTTCAAAATTTCTGTATGATTAACCCTCTATTGCACGACGTTGCCTCTAGGCAACGAACCCATTTACATCACTTTACACTAATATTATATATATTTAATGACAATGACGGGGTAATAATAAAGGGAAGAGTTCAAGTAAGTAAGTATTTGGTCATACTGTCTCTTAATGGACACTTTTGAACCTCTTTTTTAACATTCAGTATGATTGTTTTTGTTATGAGAAATTGCCGAAGTATGTTTGTTGCCTAGAAGCAACATTGTAGGGTCTAACCATGGCTTTCTATAATTTCTTCCCATTGTAGCACAATGTTGCCTCAGGGCAACATATCCCAAAAAGGACCCCTGCACACATTATGCTCTCATAATGCGTGCAGTAGAAAGTTAAAGACTAAAGATGTAAATCAAGCCATTCAGAGTAGTTTCATATAAAAATTGTTGCATTGTAGAGAAACTTACCGAGTCTGAATTGTTCACAGTGGGGGTGATAGGAACCAGACGTCTGAAGAGTTTAAAGGGAACTTTCACTAAATTTTCTAAATGTCTATATAATTCAGCGCTTGAAATATAAACAACGTCACTGAGTGGTTTGATGCGAAATGGTTCATTTGTAGAGAAACTTACTGACTCTGATTTATTTACAGTGGTGGTGATAGGAACCAGGGGTCCTGATGTCTACAACACAAATGTAGCTGTTGTATTTAATATCCCAAACCAGACTCAAGTCTTCTGAGGTTTTATATGTGATGTTGAACGATGGTAAAATAGCGGTAAATCTGGGAAAAAAGAACTAAAAAGCTTTCTTTCTAGGGGTGTGCGCGTGGCTTTCTGTTGCCATAGAGACGTGCTCGCGCAAGAACAAGAGACGCCAAGGTTGGAAACTCGTGGCGCTGGAAGTTTACTCAGCTGACAAGAGCTGCCGTTGAGAAAGTGTCCCTGATCGACTGGATTATCGACAGAAACCGGGTAAATCTTCTTCTTTTCACTATAAACAGAACATCTAACCGGTTAATCTTTTAACTGTGCTTTAAACGTGTCATTCGAGTCTGGAGGTTCAACTCATGCTTGTCAGCCTTTTCTATCAAAGTTTAGCTATAACGTTACAGTAGCCTCCCTGATATTAGCTGTTAAGAGGCCTGCTTGACTTATTTAAGCTTTTAAATAAGTTATTTAAGCCGTATAATCACTTTTTCAGCAGCTTCCTTCTCCCATAGCCTTATTTTAAGAATTCCAAGTCTTGCTAATTTTGTATGCAACAGTTAAACGAGAAAATCCCCAGTGCTGAATGAGTTCAGTGGGTAGCGCTGTCGCCTCACAGCAAGAATGGCCTGGGTTCGATTCCCGGCCGGGTGATCAGGGTCATTTCTGTGTGGAGTTTGCCTGTTCCACAGTCCAAAGACATGCAGTCAGGCTGATTGGACATGCTGAATTGCCCCTAGGTGTGTGTGAATGTGTATGTCTGTCTGTCTGCCCTGCGATGGACTGGCGACCTGTCCAGGGTGTATCCTGCCTTCCGCCCAATGACAGCTGGGATAGGCTCCAGCACCCCACCGCGACCCAGAAGGATAAGCGGTTTAGATGATGTATGTATGTATGAATGAGTTCTTACAGTTTTTATCTGTGTTCAGCTGGACTCCAAGGGAAATTCCACCGATTTTTCAAAATTTCTGTATAATGAACCCTCTATTGCACTACCCATTTTCCTTACTTTACACTAACATTATATATGTTTAATGACAATGACAGGGGTAATAATAAAGGGAAGAGTTCGAGTAAGTAAGTATTTGGTCATACTGTCTCTTAATGGTCATACTGTCTCTTAATTGCATTGTAGAGAAACTTACAGAGTCTGAATTGTTCACAGTGGTGGTGATCCACTGTGGCGGGGGGGGGGTCCTGATGTCTACAAGACAAATGTAGCCGTTGTATTTAATATCCAAAATCACTAACAAACACAGGTCCTCTGAGGTTTTTATATGTGATGTTGAACGATGGTAAAATATTGGTAAATCTGGAAAAAAAAAGAACTAAAAAGTTTTCTTTGGGAACTATTTTGCCTCAAAACACTCTTAATGTGTCCCTCCACTATGAACAAACTGATTAAAATACGTTTTAGAGGCCTTCAGATGTCTGGTTCCTATCACCACCACTGTGAACAATTCTGACTTACTATGTTTCTCTATTATCACACATAATGCACCAACTACTCTTAATGACTTTGTTTACATCTTAACCATTTAATTATGCAGAAAAAATTGGTGGAGTTCCCCTTTAATGTCTCTAAAAGCTTTCTAACAAGAATATATTACATTTAAAGCTCAAAAATGCATAAGACATTTGTCAGTACCTTTGACAATGTCTTCTGATGCCTGAAACATTTTTTGTGATAGTTTTAAGTAAAGGTTTTGGCTTTAAACATATTTTTAAAAAACTCTTAAAGTGGAGGGGTATGTGCAGGGCATTGTGAGGCAAATAGTACCCAAAAAAAAAGGTTTAACCTGTTTCATCATGATTAACATTACATATAAAAAGACATATATAGATTCACTGGTCATTTCGAATAGCAAATATTATGACTGTATTTGCTTTGTTAACATTGTGAGCCCTGGTTCCTATCACCACCACTGTACAGAAAAAAAATAGTAAGTTTCTCTAGAATAGAGCAATTTACATACCATGAAATTCCCCAGGGAATTCCCCTATAAATGAACTGTAGTTGTTAACGCTGGGGATGACAGAGTTACACTGCCATTGAAAAGTCTGAACTAGTTATATTAATAGTTTGTATTATTAATGGTTACAATGGTAACTTGTACAGTGTAGATGTAACTTTTACAAGCCGCACACCAAAATGTATTTTATTATATACTGTAAATTAAATACTGTAATTGTCTATTTAGAGTCATTTTTGCAGAGTTATCTTCCTCAAGATATCATCACCACTTTTCAAATATGAGTTATTCTGGGTGTTAATTTTATTATAACTTCATTCTCAGTGTTATACAGCTCTGTTCATCACTCTCGACACATCTATTTTTTATAGCTTCGTTGATTTCTATGCCGTTCTAAACTGTCTATGCCATTTTCAGTCATCCCACCACCACAACCACCACCAAAGTTAGGAGCTTTTATGTCAAGGGCATTATTTAAATACCATCTGAGGACATTGTTTATCTGATTTTATCACATATATTGGTGCATTATGAATGGATTTGAACTTAAAACTTTAGGTAATGTCTATTAGACTGCTGCACCCTATGTTACACATTTTTGGGTTTCCTTTAAGCATTAATGTTATAATTGAAGGGTTTCATTGCAAAACGCATTGTAGAGCATAATGAGTACACATCAGGTAATAGAGAAACTTTAAAAAGCTCTTATATTATCCAATTTCAGTTTCTTCTGAACCTAATTCTAAATCAGAAGGCTAATTCAATTACAAAAGTAATTATTAGCATAAATTCGAATGAAATAATGACTATCATTATATCAGAATATCATTCTGTGCCTATATCTTCCATGTCCCGTATTATGAAGCTATGTTAAAGCACACTGTGCATTATTACCTGATGTCTTATAATACATAAATCTCTGTAAGTGAACAACATTACTTACTATGTAGCTAAAAGCATAACTTCATGTAACCTTATCTGACCAGGCTCCAGATGGCATTTACGGTGGCTGAAGGCCGGCTGGAAGTTTTGCAGATCTACCGACTGCTGCAGTGTGTCCATGAGGGCAACAAGGCCCAGATAGAGAGACTGGTCAGTCTGGGTGTTGATGACCTCATCAATCTCACTGAGCCACACGAGGGCAAGGGTGTTTTGCACTTAGCTTCCGTGGCCAACAACACAGATATGGTGGAGTTCCTCATGGCTCAAGGTGCCCGTCCCGATGTTCAGGACAAGCATGGGCGTACACCAGTGATGCTGGCCGCAGAGCTCGGACATGACAGCGTAGTTGCTCTCCTGGCCAAGCAGCATGCAGATATGAATCTGACAGACGTAGAAGGAAAAGGTAGAGTATCTCTCTCTGTCTCTTTTTCTCATGCACTATATATAGTGCTTTTCAAGCCCTCAAACATTTGCATATTTACATTTGCATAATAACTAAAATAACAATTACATTTTTTTATCAAAAACCTCCTTTATCTGTTGTAAGCCCTGCACACACTTTCTCCATATGAGAGGTCAGGAATGCCTGGAAAAACTGGTATTATGGGATTTTAGATTTTAATATTTGTATAAACTGGTGCAGTTTTAGTTTTGGCTATCTAATTATTGTGCTATATATTTACATGTGTCATTATTAGTCACTGAAAAGAACAATTAAAAACCAGAGCTTCCAGACTGTATATTAGGCCCAGAGTGTGGCCTACAGGCCAGAGTTGGCTTATGAGGATGTTTGATTTGGCCAACCAGTTACACTAAGCCCACCCACTCAGCCAATGAGAGAATAAACATATTTTACATTGTACTCATTAAATTCTTAATTTCCTTTTAAAATTGTTTTTTTTTAAGTATTTTAGTTACAAAATATAGCATAATGTTATAAAATACAATTTTAAAAGCACGACTTGAAACTTACCTCTTTGTTTGTGCATTGTATTGTCTTTTTTTGGCCTCTTAAGACAAATGTTTGAGCAACTCTGATCTAGGCTGTTTTTAGTCACCCCACCAAAAGTGGGAGCTTTTTTGTTAATGGCATTATTTAAATACATTTGTGGCATTTGGCAGATGCTCTTATCCAGAATGACCTAATTGACCTAATTGTAGTGCTAAAAGGTAGTGTTAGGAGTCTTGCCCAAGGACTCTTATAGGTACAGTGTAGGGTGCTTACCCAGGTAGGGATTGAACCCCAATCTACAACATTGAAGGCAGAGGTGTTACCCACTACACCATACCAACCATATCCCACCAAATGTCACCTGGGGATGTTATGTATCTGATTTTATTGGCTACATTGGTGCATCATGAATGGATCTGAACTTAAAACCTTTAGGTTACGTCTATTAGACTGCTGCATCCTATGCAACACATGTTTGGGTCTCCTTTAAACATTATGTTAAAAGAAAAGTTTAAAAACGGTTTAAAGGGTTTCATCCAAAATACATTCTAGACCACTTTCAAGAACTTCCTTTTTTTCACGATATACATTGTTGATAATGCACTTACACATACAAGAAATGTTAATACTATATTATGATTAATACTACCTTTATTAGGGAAATAAAAATGTGCTTTCCATGATAAGTCTGCTGCTATTCTTTTTAAAAACGTCTGTATCCAAAATTGTTAGAAATGGAGATCCATCGTTTTAGCATCAAATTATTCAAGTGTACAAAGGGCTCTTATAGTTGTTTGATTAAACCTGATTACTTGATTTGCCTGCTTAATGAATTGTCAATGATTAGTTTACAGTTTGCATGATGATAATGCATATCGCTGCTTTTGGAAGAAAAACTCATATCTCCAGTTTTTTTATTCAGTTTTTGACATAATTTGAAAATATCTGATGCCCTTTACATTGTATGTAAATTTCATGAATAATGGACCAAAAGAAATGTCCCAAAATGACTTACATTAAAAGTATAGTATGTTTTTTTCCTTCTCCTGTAAAGTTACGATTTTGGAGATACAAGGTTTCCTTCTGACAACAGCGATATTTTAAATTCCCTTACTAATAGTCTGGTAGTGACACTCAGTTATTTATTTATTTTTTTTTTTTTTCCCATTGTGATTAGATAATGAGATCTTTTAAAATGTCTTCCTAGTTTATCTTTTTTCCAAAAAACTAGAATCTTACTATTGTTCAGCACATTTGTATTATTTAGCCTTTTTAAAAATATCTTGATTACTCAATTAATCATCAAAGTAAGCGATAGATTATGTGATTTCTTGATAGCGGCAGCTCTTATTGTCGATAAAAGCATGTTATACAGAAACACACTGAAAATGTAGATATCCATAATGTAGAAACACACAACACACTTACAGTAGGCATTTTTTTCTTAGAAATGCCAGATTATATTGTATATTGCTGAAGTCTTGATATGGTCAATGTTTGACTGCAGTAGCCGTGCCTCATCTACTGTAAACAATGCTGTCAGTAATGCTTTAAGTAGAGCTCCACCACAGGGATAACTTTAACGCATCTTCATGCTCCACTGCTTGATAAGTGGTAAAGTAGATGGACTACCTAAGATGAAACCCTTGACATTCGACTTATTGAAATGCACCCTCTCTCCCACTCTTAAGATATTGATGAGGTTTCAAGCACTCTTCATGAGACAGTAATTCCACGGAGTGAGGGGCTCTCCAAAACTCCTATTAATTCATCTGTCACATAATTTAACGATTGCCGTGCCATCTGCAGGGATCAGACCTAACAGCGTGCAGCATCCTCCCTTTGTGCAGGATGATGGCTTCTGTCTAATTACAGATCAGGGCAGGGCCCAGCAAAGCTTGTCCGTAATCCGATCTGACTTTGGCTGCTCTCCCAGGCGTGCTCTTCTACTGCGTCTGTCCCACCAAGAGACACATGCGCTGCCTGCAGGTGGCGCTGAACAGCATGGCCGACGTAAACAACGTGTCGCACGCGGGCGTGCCACTCTTCTTGCGGGCCTGCGAGAACGCTATGGAGTGTGAGGGCATGTGCCTCAGCCTGCTGGAGAGGGGGGCTGACCCCAACGCCACCAATCAGGTACAGCAACCCAGGAGTGTGCGCTGTACTGACCAAGTATGAGTAAGCAGAGGAGCTGTGAGAGTGTGTGTGTGTGTGTGTGTGTGTGTGTGTGTGTGTGTGTGTGTGTGTGTGTGTTCTTGTTTTTGTAAATTTCAGGACAAAAACACCCAGACTTTTATAACAACAAAATGCTCCTGACTTTGTAAAGTGCTATTTTCAAAAGCTCTGTTTAATTTTTCCTAAAAAAGTAAGAGCTTTAGGTTAGGATCACATCTAGATAGTTATACACAGTTATAGATCGATAAACATATAATGCATATGGGACATATGTAAGATTACAAATCCCATCTTTATAAAAACAAAAAATTAATGTTATATGATTTGATGGACAGAGCATATCACAGTTTGTAGGAGTGTGTGATAAAGAATAAAAGATACTATTTCTATATAACATGAGTGAAAACAGGGATATGAATCATTGGTTCTACAAAATGGTATGATTCATAACCTATTTGGAGACCAAGACATCCTTTGCAGTAACATTATTTATATGTTTTTTTTGCCCTTGTGAGCAGCAAAGGCCAGTTTCTGTGCTACTAACTGTAACTCAGTTCCACTGTAAAGGGTTTTAATGCTGTCCAATGTATTGTCTCTACCATACGTGTTTATATCCAGACCTTAAATCCAGATTCTGGTTCTGGATTTTGTATTCAGTAACTGATTGGCCACCAAGTGTTATACCACTGATCACAAACCCCAGCAGCAGAAGCTTCAGGTAGGCAACAGATACTAAATAATATTTAATAAATTCAATAAGTGGGGAAACAAATCAAGCCAAATTCTAGCAGCTCTGCACATTTGATTTGGCCTCGTTTGTGAGATTACCTTGACTCAAGGCGGCAGTATCAGTCTAAACTTCATGAACAGTTCCTTTATGCTCTGGATTGCTAGCCAGCATGTTCTCTATTGCATTTATTAACAAGAATAAATGAAAGCATGCTGCTGGCTAGCCAGTTGTCTGGAACTGTAGGAAAATTATACAGACTGTGCTGGGCGATAAAACCAATGCTGCAGAGTTTAGTGTGCTCCGGAATAAAGCTGTGTGGCTTAAGAACCTTCATCACTCCCCCATTTACTGACAAAAGTAGACTAAAAAGTTGTTCTCATTTGGAAATAAATTGAAAATATGGAAAAAAACTATTTATCAGTGATATTTTTCATTACCGTGTAGTATTGCAATTAGGTTTTATTTGCATCTAAATAAATAATAGAATATATGAAACAGTGCATGATAGCGTAATAATAATAATGATAATATAAACAATAAGAATAAAAGAACGAAAATATTCAGTAGTTGCAGCCCTTGATTCAACTTCCTGAAATGCCATCTATTTCAACCTAAATACCATCCAAAACTTTGATACTGCGATATAAAATATTGTGATATTGAACTTTGTCAATGCAGGCCAACACTAAAGGGTTTAAGCCCTTTCTGAGATCAAAGAACCCAAACTCAGGAGATATTCTTTTGGGACAGCAAGTCACTTTGCCAGATCATTCTTTTCCCCATTCCGACACACTACATCAAAAGCCGTGTTCTGAAAATGCTGACAGCGTGTATCCGTCAAATTCCTGTCAGCAGCCGAACGTAGGGGGAGGCAGGACTGAATGCATGAACTGAATGGACTTTGATAGCAGGTGTGTGAGGATGGATTCCTGGGTTGTTTTTCAGGTGACAGGGCGCACTGCATTGATGGAGGCGGTGAAAGCAGGGGCAGTGGGGCTGGTCAGAGCCATTCTCAGAAGAGGGGCCAATGTCAATGCACTGGACGCCAAGAAATTCCATGCAGTTCACTTTGCAGCTGAAGCAGGCTACTTTGAAGTAACTACACAATTATTATTGTATTTTATTTTGTAGCAGCAGTCACATCCCACACTGGAAAGATATACAATAAAAAATGTGTCTGAAAAAACTCAATTATATCATTTTTTCCCACTTTTTATTTTTATACATCAATCAAGCACAGCAGCTGCTCTTTACATTGTGTGTAAAATATGATCAATGGATGAAAAGAAATGATCCAAAATTTCTTGGAATAAAATCTATTTACATTAACTTGCATTATAAATAATAACATTAGCTAAAGGACATTAAATAAAAATACATTTTTGGCCGTTCTCAGATATTTTCTAATGTATTTAATGAATCATTTTGCATATATATTTCTTTTCCATATGAAATACGAACAGCATACAGAGCCAAACTGACCATTTTTAAAAGTTAATTTAATTAAGCTGGAGTGCATTATGTTATTGGGTAACAGTCAGGTTAAATTAGTAATTTGTTTGCATCATGCCATCTAGTCTCTTCTATCTTGTTTATTATAAGCAGCAACAGCATTTTTAGGCAAATTATTTTTTTCAACTCCACATTATTCCCTCTGCAGATCATCCAGGTGTTGTCTGCATATGCGGCGGATATGGGAGTATTGACAGCAGAAGGGAACACGGCTCTGCACTACGCTGCGAGTGGAGGCTTTGCTGACTGTTGCAGGTTTTTGGCTCAGAGAGGTAGCCTACTTAAATGATTTACAGCCCTGTGGGCGTATGAGAGTGAATACAAGAAACAAGCTATATCTTCAGTTGAATCTGATTATGGATGTATGTTGAAATGAAAGCAACTTGCATTATGTGAATAAGTATCTTTATCTTTAAGGCTCAATCCCATTTCACCCCTCACCCCTACCACTTAGCCCGTTCACGTTTAGGGTTAGGGTATCCCAGTTTTAGTTGAGATAGAGGGGTAGGGTGAAGTGTTAGGGCTACATGGCCCTCCAAACTGAGGTTTTTCAGAGTCACACTCCAAAAAAAACAGTTATGAGAAAAAAAGAAAAACAGGCAAGATGGCTGAGAAAGAGACCAAAGAAACCCACAAATGTGAGAATTGTCTCCATTAAAAAATTACGATAACCACTGTATTATATTAGTTTAATGTTGTTTCAATGTATTATGGTTGTTTTCTTCATAACAAGCATAAAAAGTCGCTAATAGCATGCTAATGTCTCGGTAGCTAGCTAGCTAACTTTCCCGTTCCACCTTAAATAGTCCAGAAGTTTTGACGCCTGAAGCACCAGAATGTAACTGCTGCACCATTTAAGGTGAAAATTCGAACAAGATGCTGGTGAATATCTGACTTTAGCTTCATATCCCCAAAGAATTATTGGTGGGCGATAATAAATAATTGTCTTATAGCCCCTCTTTGAAAGCATATGATGCCCTAAATGTAACTAAAGCCCAGCAGTGAGGTTGCTGAACTTTTCCCTTCTCTGATGGGCCGGGTCGCCTACAGAGCAGCGCTAGTAGCCTGTTAATTAAGTAATTTTTTCTTTTTTTTTAATTTGAGGGTCCAATTTGGTAGGGCAAGATTTCAACCACAACCCATTGTAACTCAGTTCCAAGGGGTTAGGGTGACACTCGAAAACAAGGGGTAGGGGTAAAAAGAAGAAATGGGATTGGGCCTAAGTATCTGTACATTAGCACTTCAATGACCATACTGCCACTGCAGTTTGAAGTTTTCTTTGCTCCCACACACTTGATTTAACTTACTCATTGTTTCATAATTGGCAGGTTGATGTTGAAGCAAGTGTGTCAGAGCAGTCCCCTCAGAATGATAGCACAGAACACAGTAGCAGCTCCCTTGTTCACAATGTAACAGAGTCACAGTTGCCAAGTTGATGTGACCAAATGCCACACTGCAAAATAGCTGCTATTCATCCTCATGCTAATTTGAATTTCTCACTGACTAAGCAGTAAAATAGAATCATGTCTGCCTTTGATGGAGTTTGCAGCTGAAATTTGTGACGATTTCAATATCTAACTACATTGTACGTCTCCAGATTGGTAAAGCTAATGCTTTATCCTAATGATTTCAGGATGCAACCCCAAACAGAAAAACCTGGAGGGCCTGTTACCCCGTCAGATTGCCAAGGACTTGGGTCACAAGGCCTCAGTCAAAGAACTGAAGAAAGCCGAACGCTTACATGGGAAGTTTTCAAAAGGCTCAGGTGGCACTAACGAACCATGGGCGCTGACCCTCCATGACTGGTCTCATGAGTATGAGGCTGAACTGCGTAAGGCCTTCGAATCTGCTTCAGACGGAGTTGTCGGCATTGAGATGGTCTCCAGGGAGACGTTTGTCTCTGTTCTCCAAGAGCTCAAGCCGCCTGTAGAGGACGAACATGTCAAGAGAATCCTGCTGGCTCACGACAGGCGAAGGGAAGGCCTGATTAACATCAACGAGTTTTTCAAAGGTCTCAGATACCTGCCCAGGACTTTCGTCATGGCCTCTTATGAGCCAAGGAAGAAGAAAAGGGCGGGGAAGGCAGGAAAGGCCAAGAAGAAAAGCAAACTGAACATTCCCATGCCGATTTGCACCATCCCTCCAGAACTCATCTACCGTCGTGATGATGGCGGGCCACCACATTTTATGATAGAGAGCTACCAGCTTGTTACGGACCCTAACCGCTTTGACAGGGACCATCCACCAGGTCACCCTGTAGAGGACGACTCAGTCTGGTACATAGACGAACCAGAGAAGATCTACATAAACATCAGCTACTGCGTTAAAACCGGAGACACCGACTCCCTGAAACTCGCCTTTAGTCAGAAGGTCCCTGTGGATGTAAAAGATCGCTTCTACAAGACGCCGCTCATGACTGCTTGTGCAAGTGGGAATTATGAAGTGGCCAAGTTTCTGCTTGACCTCGGGTAAGGATAACCATCATATTTCAGGCAATTAAAGGGCTTCTATCACAGAAAAACAAATTTTCCTCACTTTTTTGAGTGTAGTGTATTTTGTTTAAGTTTCAAAATTGTTATGACCCGTTCTAGGCTCAGGCCATCATAGAAATTGAGAATGGACTCTCTCCCTCAGACCTGCTGCCAGACCAAACCCTGGACACTGTTTCAACAGTAAACCAGTTCAGGTTTATTCACGGTTTCTTAAAAAGTCAAGGTGTTAGGATTTGGAATGTGAGCTTTGGATGAGCATGTGCCAAAATAATAAACTAAACAACTAAAGGTTCTACAGACTAACTAAACCTGAAAACGAAAATGAAGCACACACACATACACACATACATCTTCTAAGCCGCTTATCCCTCTGGGTCGCAGGGGGGAGCTGGAGCCTATCCCCGCATTTATTGGGTGGAAGGCAAGATACACCCTGGACAGGTCATCAGTCCATCGCAGGGCCGAAAATGAAGCAATGATACAAAAAGCTTCTTGAACCCTTGAGAAAAGATGAAAAGAAGCAAAATGAATGGCACTCATCTCCTACTTTTTTCACAAATTTAACAAAGTTTCATGAGTTTCACAAAGTCTAACCAGCTTTCACAAATTTAACAAAGCAAACACAGCAAAGCAAAGAGTGTTGGATGGGTCTAGATAGGTGTACTTCTGGGTCATGTCAGATTGGAGAGAGCCCTGAACATCTCCCCAGGGAGTGGGATCACCAACCTCTTTTATAGCAGAGAGTGCTGCACATAAGGCAACATACACAAAACACAGAACAGCAGCAGCAAGCTCATAAAACGAATATTACATCCGGAGGTCGTAACAAAACATACTGTCCACTCTCAGGTCCTTAGAGCCTATGCAATAAAAACAGCCCATTTTACCATGTTACACGGGAGTCAACAAGAGGCATAGATCATTAATATATAGAAATATAGAATATAGAAATATAGAAATTAGATATAAAAGCTATTTATCTGGGCATTAAGCATTTAATTGCTCAGAAAAACACTAAAATTGTCAAACACACTAATATTGTAGTTTTCATCCAATACTTGGTTTGGCTAATTAGTCATAATTATGTTAAATCAAAGGGGCTAAGGATGGAATTTAACAAATCTGGAGCCAAACATTTTCTTTAAACTTCTCAGACATCTATAAAATATAAAATATAAGATAACTATAAAACATATCACATAAATTCTTGTCACTACTGTGTTTATGTGTATTTATGTCCAATCTATTAATCTGTGATGTTTTACATGCAAAACCATCCTTATTGCCAAGTTAAATACTTTTAAAAAATATGCTTAGGTGATCTTGCATAGTACTGTATATGTATTTATATGAAAATATATGTTTTTTCTCAAGTGAATGCAGCTGTCATTGGGTTGACTTGTTTGTCATTTTACAGTATAATGTGTAAATTTCATAGAACTTTTCTATTCATGAATGTTTTTATCTGCATTTTATACTTTACATTCTTCGCACAGATACATAAATGTTTAAATTTACACAGATTTATACAAATACTGCACTGCATATACTCTTTTCTATATATATTGCTACTATAACATTGTTATATTATGTAAGTGCTAGTTAGGGATAACTGAAATGTAACTGTATGACAGAGCTGATGTGAATGCACGTGACCAGTTCGCCTGGACACCACTACACCACGCCTGCCACGCCGGACAGCTTGACATCATTGAACTACTGGTGGAATCAGGGGCTGCAGTGGACACTCCAGCTCTCAATGGGGCCACGCCTTTAATGAGGGCCATTGAGAGCGGCAGGCCCTGTTGTGTGGATTACCTCCTCAAAGCTGGAGCCACTGTGACTGCAGAGAATAAAACAGGTACAGAGAAACTTCAGCACATACATCAGTCTATATAGCTTCAAAAATAGCACAACATTCACTGTTCTTGATGTCATTCAGTTTTGACCCCTTCTGTTTAATTAAACTTCAACTCATCATCACAACCTTATGACATTATTGACCTTAAATAACTCCACATCCACACTCTACTGTCTTTACTGCAGTGACGCAGCAAGAAAATCCCACTACCTTATTATCTTCCTACACAAGCAATCTCATTGCAGGCTCGAAGCATATATCACCATTTCACTATCGGATCAGTGCTACCACATCACAGTGGGGGCTCTTGGAACTGTGGTGTATTAAATCGTTGAGATTGATCAACATTGGGCACAGCTGTCACACTGGACTCAGGGTCTTTTAATCTTTTAATTGCAGAGCAAAATTGCTTGGACATTGCCCGTGCTTACGCGGACCTCAGGATAGTGGAGTTGATCCAGGCTAAGATTGAGAGCCTCCCCAAGCCAAAGGACAACAAGAAGGACAAGGCGGCCAAACCTCAGGCCAAACCCCGACCAGCTACCTCCACGTCATCTAAGGAGAAGGTATAAACAGTACGCACGATGACACAGCATTTTTTTAGACGCACGTTTCCATCTCAGAATCGCGCATAGACAACATTTTGCAGTCATGCATATCTAGGAACTACAGCTGAGAATTTTGTAGTTTCATATTATGTTTAAGATTTGAGTGACAGCTGGAATCTGACTAGGCCTGTTATGAAAATGAAATTAATGAATGATTAAAATAGTCTTTTTTATTGTTCATTTATGGTTCTATGGACTCTTTTCACACTTATGGATTGTACGCAGCAAAAGTCATTATAGAAGGTAAAACACTTATAATAAGTGTTGCTAATAACTGTGTAGTTACACATTAACAATACATGCAACAACAATATAACTACTGGTGAAGTATTTATTGTTACAGATGGGTTACAGAAGTACAGCTTGTGCATACCGATCAGGCATAACATTATGACATTACAACATTATCCTTGTTTCTATGCTCATTGTCCATTTTATCAGCTCCACTTACTATATATGTGCACTTTGTAGTTCTACAGTTACAGACTGTAGTCCATCTGTTTCTCTGCATACTTTGTTAGCCCCCTTTTACCCTGTTCTTCAGTGGTCAGGACCCCCATGGACCCTCACAGAGCAGGTACTATTTGGGTGGTGGATCATTCTCAGCACTGCAGTAACACTGACGTGGTGGTGGTGTGTTAGTGTGTGTTGTGCTGGTCTGAGTGGATCAGACACAGCAGTGCTGCTGGAGTTTTTAAACACTGTGTCCACTCACTGTCCACTCTATTAGACTCCTACCTTGTCAGTCCACCTTGTAGATATAAAGTCAGAGACGACAGCTCATCTGCTGCTGCACAGTTTGTGTTGGTCATCCTCTAGTCCTTCATCAGTGGTCACAGGACGCTGCCCACAGGACACTGTTGGCTGGATATTTTTGGTTGGTGGACTATTCTCAGTCCAGCAGTGACACTGAGATGTTTAAAAACTCCAGCAGCACTGCTGTGTCTGATCCACTCAAACCAGCGCAACACACACTAACACACCACCACCACATCAGTGTTACTGCAGCGCTGAGAGTGATCCACCACCCAAATAGTACCTGGTCTGTGAGGGTCCATGGGGGTCCTGACCACTGAAGAACAGGGTAAAAGGGGGCTAACAAAGTATGCAGAGAAACAGATGGACTACAGTCTGTAACTGTAGAACTACAAAGTGCACCTATATAGTAAGTGGAGCTGATAAAATGGACAATGAGCGTAGAAACAAGGAGGTGGTCATAATGTTACGCCTGATCAGTGTAAGCCTAATAACGTAATAACACCCACACATTGGCTGCATCAGCCATGGTCGATTGACTACATTTGGAGTAAGTGAAAACTGCAAATATAATTTTTCACCAAAAAACTTTGTTTACATTTTTTTTTTGTTTACAACTTTGTTTATTTGCCTCTCCACGACTGAGAATGCACCTAATTCCTGACTATGTCTGGCCGTAAATCTGTTTGTTACAATGTAAACATGGTATGGTGAAATTTAATGACTCTGGAAAATGTTCATGGTCAGCCCAAATAATCAAAGTCAGATCAAATAACTACACTCAGGTGATTGTGTAATAATTGACAGGCCTAAGCTTTAGATGAAGGACTCAAGGCTGTTGTATAATTTACAGCCACATACTGTATGAGCACAATACTCTACTGTAGGTTTACGCAAGCTGGTTTGTCACTTAATACACAAGCTGTAATTGATCTGTCTCAGTGTAGCCACAGCCTTTTCACCATCCAAGTATTCACTCTGTGACTGTGGAAAAAAGAGGTAGGCCTTGCTCGAGGCAAAGTGTAAGCAAATGAGAAAGGAAGTGTCAGATTACCCCCACACGCAAACACCCACACACATGACAAGGCAGCAGCGCTGCCTGTTACTGTGGCCGGGGGAGGCCGTGTAGAGCCCCTCATTAAAATTCACGCAGCGTTAGTGGCCGTGTCAGCATGTCCTGACTCCATCTTGACTCCATGTCTTCCCAGCGTCTTCATTCAGCGTCTTCACAGCAGGGGGCGAGCTCAGCAGTGAAGACAGCAGCGAAGGCGGACAGCGTGATCCTCCACAGCACTCAGATCACCAGTGGAGCGCTTAACAAAGTGGACATCAGCTTTGCATCTAGAACGGTAGGTTAAATAGTTCAATTGTGAACACACAGCTTGTACAATCTCCATAAAAGAGTAGAATGGGACGCTCCAGAGCAGCTGCACATGAGCCTAAGGTCACCATAGCTAATGCCAAGCGTCTGCTAGAGGGATATTTCTTTCTCTGGAGTGTACAATCAAATATGTTTGCCATGAATTGGAGTTTGTGCTCTTTTGTGATCAAGAACTTATGGGTCATTCTTCAGAAACGTCCATTTTTGTGTCCCTAGCGTTTACAGATATATTACACTTAAAAAAACATGTTAGGGTTACAATTTATTTATATTTTAAAATAAAACAATGTTATTTTAACAGTTACCCCTTCTTGAGCCATCGATTCAGCAATATTGGTTTTTAAATCAATTTTATAGAATTTCAAGCACCACAAAAGTGCTCGAAGAAAAAAAACACAATAATCTATACATGACTATGGAATATATAAATTACATGACATAAAGAAAACAAATGCCAAATAAATATTATAAAATATAGAATGAAAGTTCCCCAGGAGTCGTGTCACTGGTGTTACCACGTAACAAAAAATCTCTTATTTTGAAATAAAAGTCACACTGATGACATCACTTGACTTCCTTTTACCTGTTTTCTGAGGATCTATGAAAAAAGCACATGGTAAGTCCACTGTGTCTTTTCAGTTATCAGAAAATTTCTCATTTAGCTCATGATTTCATGTGAAGCTTTTAGCTGAAGTCACTGGTGTGACCTACTTTATTCTTAGGTAACTGTGAAAAAATAGAATACAAATGGATTAAATTACATATTTTAGTGGATGTTCCATGATTGACAACATGTGGTTTGATGCTCTGTAGCAGCCATTTTCTAAAATGCATTTTTCATTAAAAAGGTCTCTGGTGTTGCCTTTCTTATGTGTAACACCAATGAGGATTGGTAACACCAGTGACACCTATGGATAGACAGAAAAGCAGACGTTTCTGTAGAATGACCCTAATCATCCAGTATCAGTACCTGACCTCACTAGTTCTCTTGTGGCTGAACGTAATCAATGTTTCAACATCTAGTGTGAAGCCTTCCCAGAAGAGTAGAGGCTGTTACTACAGCAAAGGAGGACAAACGTTGGATGAGCAGGTGTCTACAGTCCTTTGGACATAGTGTATATATATTGAGCACTATAGTCAAGTCAAGTCAAGTCAAATTTTTTGTATAGCGCTTTTTACAACTGATGTTGTCACAAAGCAGCTTCAAAGAAATCCATTAAAGACAAAGTTTTAACATGAAATGTAAATCCTCCAAGTGAGCAAGCCAGGGGCGACAGTGGCAAGGAAAAACTCCCTCAGAGCTGAGGAAGAAACCTTGGGAGGAACCAAGGCTCACATGGGGGGACCCATCCTCCTCTGGTCAAACTACCTACAAAATTATTATACTACTAATATTAATAGTAGTAGTAGTAGTAGTAATAGTAGTAGTAGTTAGGAGAGTAGTAGTAGTTAGGAGTATACTATAGAGTTTCACATTCTACCTACTAGGGATTTTGGCAAATTCTTAAACATTAAATTAAACATTAAGTTAATTAAACATTAACTGGCAAACCTAAAATCATTTACATGACCCAAGTAGCACGGTGTGTTACATAAACAAGGCTTTAGATTTTACAGAATGAAAAAACCCAACCTAACATAACAGATATGATAGTAATTTGATGTAAACTACTTATTTACTTTTAACAAGTTAACAAACATATATGGCCTGACTGGGGCTAGCATGAAGTTCATAAGCATAGTTTAACAGCAATCAACAAAAGGTCTTTGCATTTAAGCTTTTTTATATATTTTGATATATATATATATATATATATATGTATATATATATATATATATATATATATATATATATATATATATATATATATATATATATCGCCTACCTTAGCACTGTGTCATGTGGCAGTGATAGTGCTGGAAACCACATATAGGATGGTTTAATCTCTGCTGTATTCCTTTATCAACAGCTCTGGCACTACTGGTTAAAATGACATGAAATTAAGGATTTAACTCTATTCACTCCAGCAGCATGAGTTGAGAGTCATAGGCCGCTTTTCCACTATCGAGCCAAATGGTTCTCAGGGCCATACTGGACCGTTCCGCGCTGGTCTGAACTTACGAGACCGGTTACAGTGTCTCTTTCCATCTGTTTTACTGCTAAATCAGCACCAGGAAATACCCAAGAAAACTACACAAACAAATGGCTCACTGCTGATAGGCTTATAGCAACATAGACACCACCCACCACAAACACGTTTGATTCTGTCTGTCACCCCAACTCCGGGCTCTCGGCGTGCTGTCATCTTGTTCATCCTCTAAACGGGTGTTATTTGAGCATCTGTTACTGAAACAGACTGTGCTGCGGTGGGTTTGACCTGTAGCCGGATAACTGCAGTAGCATCAGCATCGCCCAGCAGGGTAGAACTCAAAGCACCACAGAACAAGTCTATTTTTTATCTTTCTTCCACTTCAACACCAGTCATTTGAAGTTGTTCTCTCAGATTTGAGTCTTTCTCCTCTAAACAGGCATTTTTAAGCATCGGTTTGCTAGAACGGAGCCCGTACTGCAGTGGGAGGCGCCATGCATTCTCGTTAGCTTACCCTAGCAGGCTACAGCTTAAAGCTCTAACAGAACAGGTCCCATTTTGGCTTTCTGTCACTCCAACACCGGTCAGTCGATTTGCTCTTGCTATTATTAGTTTTTATCATCTATACTTGTGATACCAGAGCAGTTAGTCGAATCAAATGTGCACTGGGGTGTTTGGACGTCTTTAGCTAAGATAAGTTAGCTAGATACCCACCGTGCTCGGAACCATTCGGCCCTGCAGTGGAAAAGAGGCCAGAAAACTTTGAGTTGTGCATCAATAAGTTGCGCCCCTGCGCCCTCCTGCATACAATTTAAAAATGCTCCTCAAGCTGAATGAAAAACATACACCGATCAGGCGTAACACTATGACCACCTCCTTGTTTCTAAGCTCATTGTCCGTTTTATCAGCTTCACTTACTATATAGGTGCACTTTGTAGTTCTACAATTACAGACTGTAGTCCATCTGTTTCTCTGTGGTGGATCATTCTCAGCACTGCAGTAACACTGACGTGGTGGTGGTGTGTTAGTGTGTGTTGCGCTGGTCTGAGTGGATCAGACACAGCAGTGCTGCTGGAGTTTTTTAAACACCTCAGTGTCACTGCTGGACTGAGAATAGTTTAATAATTCGAAATTTAAGATGTGAGTTGTTGTAAGTCTTACGCAATTTTTTGTCTGTGTTTTAGGTGTGGGGTAAGCAACTGACCACCAACCAACTGATGGAAAAGAAGGAGAAAAGAAGACAGCGTTTCACCTATGAGATAGACTTTGATGATTTCAAGATGCCTTTCAATAAGAACCTTCAGAAGAAGACTCTGGAGCTGTTGGACGAAAGCTGAGAAAGGATATTGCATCCAACACTCACCCTGCTTTAGCATTATGCAGTATTCTAGCTCTAAGGCATCTATTTGTAATATCACAGAATCTATGATTAGGAGTGCTGAACCATAGTACAGTAATCACCCCACTTACAAAGTGCATATACTGCTGTCCACTCATCGACACTGCTGGCTCAGAAGCAAAGTCAACTGAACATAAAGATCCCTGTCACTAATGGGCTACATTCGTGACGGGGATCGTTTACACCTTGTTTACGCATTTCATAGCCATCACGTCTTGGGTCACAGAATTAAAGTCAAATCGGTGGCGTCTCATTGTAGTTTTGGAGACCCCAAAATGCTATCTTGTTGCCTCTCTACCCACCTTCCACACTGTGCCTGAGAGCAAAATACACATGACGTGCATTACAGCTCTGGTTGTTCAAAACTTCATCATTATTGTACTAACAGTGGACATGGGCATTTTCCATTGTGTAGCTATTTTTTATAGCACTTCCCTGATTTATGAAAGTCATAAAATCTCATTTAATAAGGGTATTCCCTAATCTTCCCCATATTGATGAATGACTACAGGAATTGGCCTCGAATTTAGACTCCATGGAAGTTCCTAAACACTCAGGTGGACTCAAAAAGTAAAATAAAAATGGCAACAGGCTGCATTTTATTCTTAAGAATTTCTAGGGGTGCCAGTAACTGTGACATATGCGGTTTTCTGTTTTGTTAAAAATATATTTTTGATATTTTTGGTTTCTAAGACTAAATTCACTTTAGTTAAATGTTAGTTTTTTTCATATTTTTACTGTAAGCTAATTTATCACAAGTACAGTTTTTCATGACCCATCTTTACTAAGGGTGCCAATAATTATGGAGCTGACTGAGTATAGTGTTGCTTGGTCTAAGATTTGTAATGTGAAAGTTGGTATAATGATATCTGACAACAGTCTGTAAAGAAGTCAAGTAAAGGAGGATTTTCTAACATTATGGATCACTTGTACATTTCAGACTAAACGGTTAAAGAATGCTTATATGCCAGTGTAACTGCATAGCATATGTTGCAGTTACATAGTTATATAATGCAACTACATAGTAATGTACTATACTTATTGTGTACTGTAACTACATTGTGATTGTAACTGCATAGTTACGCATGTTTTATCTGTTTGCCACGATGTATTGGTCAGACGAGGATCAGTGGTGTATGAAGGTGAAGCAGGAGATGAGAGATGCTGCCTGTGTGGGCGTGTGTGTGTTGGCACGTAGTGTGTGTCCTGTCTGCTGTAGCGTCTGCTCTCTGCAGGCAGCTCTGCACACACTCTCCTCCTTTATCCTGTTTACCTGAGAGCACAGGCAGCCATGTGTGCGCTATTAAACCTGCCTCGAATCTCAAAACAAGAGATATTGAGAAAAGAGAGTGGTGTTCTTGACTGAGACACTGAAAAGCTGTTTCCTCACCGTTGTCCCAAATCAATGTTCCCTGCGTCTCAAACTGTTGAACGATGTTATTCAATTTAAAGGAGAATCTCAGTTCTTGCCTGTAGTTGGACTACATGGTGAGCTTTTTCTGGGCCTGTTTTCAGCTTCTCACGTCCACATGGGGCAAATGCGCCATTCTGCAGCACTCTACAAGCTTGCGGTTCCTGCGGACGGCCAGCAGGGGGAGGATGTTTACATCACAGTAATGACTTGTTTTGGAGAGCTGGCTGGGCTCCTCTGGGATTCTTGTCTTACAGCTAGCACACAGTATAGCAAAATGGCAGCCAACACAACAGGGATTGTTTAGAGCTGCTGTCCAACTGCTTCATAATGCTGCTTGCTGCGGCTCACATGTAGAATCAAAGCATTAGACACTTCACATGATCCATGCCTGGCTTTTTAAGTCACGTACCATTCGCTTTAGGCCTTGTGCAGTGTTTTTTTTTCTAGAACAATCTATATACCAGAGGTCTGAAAATCAATAACAGTCTCCAGGCGTGAGCAAGCTGGGTTCTTGGAGACGCCTAATTTACTGAGAGGCGGTCTAATGACACATTCTAACAGTGCAGAATAAGGTGTGTTTTGAAATGTCAACAGTGGCATCTGAGGAACAGAGATAATGGCGTCGTTGAGCCGCACAGCAAGAATCCGATTAAACGCGCCCCGGTCTGCTGATACAAGGCTTCGCCACTGAATTAGATTGTTAGATTGCGGCGTCTTCAAGGTCCACTGGGTGTAGTTACGTAATCAAATAAATGGACGAAACCGACGGCCACAAATCAGACCCCCTTCCGAGCTCCCGATACTCAGGTGTTTGTTCTGCTGGTGCTTAGTGAAGTAATCAGGTTCAGTTTATGATTTTCACTTTATGGCAGGCAGCTTTGCAATTACAGGAGCCACCCTGACTGTCAGAAATGAGAGACCCAACACAATAACGTGTGGGGGGGGTGTTGCATGGCATACGAGGGTGTTTTGAGTGCATTTGCAATGAAGAGGTACATAAAGTGAAGTGATGGGAGAGGCAGAAACACAAAGAGAGGAAGAGGGAGAAGGCGAGAGACGGGGCGGCTAAAGGGGAGAGCATGCGGGAGAGTGCGTCAGAGAGGCTGAGGCAGAGAAAGAGGGAAGGCCAGGATGAATGAAAGCGATAGTGTCAAAGCGACCCCATTGGTGACACTCATCCCTGTGGATGGGTCTAATGAGACGTGGAGAGCAGCACAGGGTGAGTCAGGGATGCAGAGATAGAGAGGGAGGAGAGGAGAGGAGCGGAGGAGGAGGGGTGAAATTTTAATGAAATCAATGCAGTGCAGCCTTAGTGTAAACAAGGGCTGTGGGCAGTGCTGAAAAGCTACTGATCTATTTGCTGTCGGAGTGTGTGCGTGTTTGTTTTCATACATTTTCAGGACAGAAATGTCCTGGCTTTGTGAGAAAAACAGGGGTAGCCAACCAAATAAATGGGTTCTTACTGTGCTAAAGTCAGAGACCATGTAAGATAATCCACTTGCATAAGGAATGGGAATGTCAAAGGAAAATAGGTGAAAAAACAAAGGTTCCCAAAACTGGAGTTCAAAAATCATTCCAAGATATAGGAAAAAACTGGACTCCTAACAACCATGTTAAGTATGTTTTCTGCTCTTTTTCCTCATGCTGTAAAATAAATAACTTAAATTTATAAAAATATTTTTTTTGCCTGAAAATGACATGAACGAAGGGGGACCTTTGTTTTTGACATAATCTGAAAATGCCTGTTGTTCTTTACATTATGTGTAAATTTCATGATGAATGGATCAAAAGAAACAGCCCAAAAAGTCTGGTTCCATTGATTTACATTAAAATTAAAGTATGTTTTTTCCTTCTCCTGCAAAGTTACCATTTTGGAGATACAAGGTTTTGTTCTGACAGCAGTGATATATATATATATATATCACTGTTGTCAGATATATAGATATATATAGCCCCCTTTTACCCTGTTCTTCAGTGGTCAGGACCCCCATGGACCCTCACAGAGCAGGTACTATTTGGGTGGTGGATCATTCTCAGCACTGCAGTAACACTGACGTAGTGGTGGTGTGTTAGTGTGTGTTGTGCTTGTACGAGTGGATCAGACACAGCAGTGCTGCTGGAGTTTTTAAACACTGTCCACTTACTCTCCACTCTATTAGACACACCTGCGTTGTTGGTCCACCCTGTAGATGTAAAGCCAGAGATGATAGCTCATCTGCTGCTGTACAGTATGAGCTAATCGTCCTCTAGTCCTTCATTGGTGGTCACAGGACGCTGTTGGCTGGATATTTTTGGTTGGTGGACTATTCTCAGTCCAGCAGTGACACTGAGGTGTTTAAAAACTCCAGCAGCACTGCTGTGTCTGATCCACTCACACCAGCGCAACACACACTAACACACCACCACCACGTCAGTGTTACTGCAGTGCTGAGAATGATCCACCATCAAAATAGTACCTGCTCTGTGAGGGTCCATAGGGGTCCTGACCACTGAAGAACAGGGTAAAAGGGGGCTAACAAAGTATGCAGAGAAACAGATGGACTACAGTATATATATATAAAACATACAAGGGACATTGTATGAGCTCATGTACTAACATTGCATCAAAACAGACCTGCTTGTGTGTATAAACGTGTGTTTTTGTACATTATGGATACTTTGTTGTGGTCATCTAAATCTTTGTGTTTAAGTCCTGTTGTGCTATAATGCTTGTGTTTTGCTCCTGTCTGCACTGTTTTCTAATGAAAGTCTTTCCTCAGAGTACTGCAGTGCCTCAGCCGTACACACACACACACACACCTACACACCAAGCTTACTCAGCATTCCTGCTACCCCTGGGACCCACAGGAGACGGAGTACTCAGACCAGGCCGGATCCATCCCTCTCTCTCTCTCCTTCTCTCTCTCTCTCTCTCTCTCTCAGTTCTGCTTTTTCAGCGTCTGAAGCTGGTCTGCCTCACTGCCTGCCAAATCCCACAGATATGAGAACAGTCAGGCTGGATAAAACCAGGCTCCTTATCTCAGTCTGACTGACCAGGGATCTGTCCACGCTACAGCAAAACCAGCAACTGGATTGCAACACTCAACACTGCAGAATGTATTTATATATTGTGTGGACAGATTAGCACTAGACTTACCGGCAAGTTTATAAGGTACCTTGTACTTACACTTATTGGCCATTCAGGTCAATCTATTATACAGGTGTATTTTTAGGTGCATAATTACTGACTACACACTTCAACAAAAAGGTACTGTACAGGTAGAAATGTAACTTCAAAGGTACCACATGGTCCTTAAGGTTCAGTTGCCCACTTTAAAGGGCCTTTAACCTAGAACACTGAAAATTCATTGCTTTTTTGAAATAAAATGCTTGATGTAGTATGTAAACATTGTTAACGTGAAAATGTACCATTCACTCTCCAGTTCATACGGTCCATATAAGGAAGCCTGTTTGATGTCACAAAAACCAAACCATATACATACTACATCAAGCATTTTATAGAGAGTAAAGATTAGTTTGTCTGCCAAAAATATCCAGCCACAAGTGGTCATGTGGTCAGAAACTAACCACTGATGAGGGGCTAGTGGACGACTAACGTAAACTGTACATGGAAAAAGATGAGCTACAG